CGAATTAAAGTTAATCCTTATCTAGGACGAAACATAATACTAACTAAATTAACAGATTTCTACTTTCAAACTAAATTTTTCTATCGATATAATAATAAATTATTCACCAGTTATCTTCTTCTTCTTTCGTCCTTTCTCTTTCAAGAAAATACTAGCAAAGTGTAAGTATTTCTTAACGTCGGATATAAAAATATCTATTGTGTGTAACACTTTGCGCATGTATAAATAGGCTCTGTATAATCTTTAGATTAACGTCGAGTGTGTAGGGAAATGTGGATAGGTTACCTGCGTATCTGAAGGAGCTGTAGATTCTCCACCCACAGATGTTAAATTAGGCGTATATGCAACTCCGCGAAGTGCTTGTCCAGGTGTTACAGATCTAGCAATTCCAGTCGCTAAAAAAAAAAGAAAATAATCATATATTCATCATTTAAAATGGCTGTACAATTCATTTTGAAACTGAATGTTCACATATATAAGATATATAATTTATACTTTCAAAAAGCTCATTTATAAATCAATTACAAGTAAAATGCCTATGAGCCTCCATAATTGTTGATATATAAATAATATATAAATAATATATTTATAAGACGAGATAATTCGCAAATTGAGATATATTTACCAACAAAGTTAACTGCAAACATTACAATTTTTTATTTGAGTCCTTTTCAATGCAAAAATCAAGTACAAATTACTTTAATATATAGATATACTCAAGGATATAATTTATTAGATTATACACATATATAATGTACTGATTTAAAAATATCTTACTTGGACCACTGACAGGAACACTGGACACTGTCGCAGTAGGCTGGACAACTTTACTACTAACCATAGGTGTTCCTGTACCTAAGACTGCCCCTTTCACTGTAAAATATAAAAAATTACGAAAGATTCGACTTTTTTATAATGTTTTTATAAATTGTCTAAAGCATATTTTAAAGGCGTCTTGTAATCAAGTCCTTTTATTATTTACATTATTTAACAAGATCTTCTTTGATACGCGTAATTTCTATTTTTATAACTTTGCGTACTTGTTTGTGGAGCACTAGCCGGCCTTAACGTCGGCATGGCGACCAAATTCGCTGGTTTTGCAGGCGGTGGTGGTGGAGTTGCGCCAACTCCTCTGGCAGGACCGCGAGCCTGCGACTCTTTCCACGTGTCCATTTCGCCTCGTAACTTTTCTAATTCCGTTTCAAAATCCTTGGCTCTCTTTTCCTCTTTCACGAGGGCTTGCCGATATTGCTGCCTCTCCATATCGAATTGTGCTAATTGTTTTTCCAATTCCGCTTCCATCTGCAGTGACTTTTTACTCTCTTCTTCGAGACCCTCAGCCATTGAATCTATTCTAACTTTCTCTTCACTGAGTATTTGAGCCAAATCCTCAGATCGTTTTCTCTCCTCAATATACTTCATAATAATCTTTTTACGTTCTGCTAAAAGGAGCAGGACTATCTGTTTCTGTCGACTCTTCTCTTCCTCGAGATGATCGTTAACTTTCTTTAACTCCATCTCTAATCTCTTCTTTTCTTGTTTCTCTAATTCTAACTCTTTTTTTAATCTTGTTCGCTCTTTCTCAAGACCATAAGTGATATCGTCACCTTGAGCAGTATCATGTTCATGTTTTCGTTTCTCTTCTTCCAATTCTTTAATTACCTAAAAATATTTATTCATGTAAAACAACAATTATAAAACAAAAATAATTATAGTAACACTAACTATTTTGTAATATTATCTTACAATATTTATGTTATATATCGCATTATTACAACAAAACATGACAATAAATACAACAAAATAAGCGTACCGCTCTGTGCCTAATTTCTGCATCTCTAAGAACTTTAGTCATTCTACATTGTGCCTTTCTTTGTTGTGTCACTAGTGCTTCAAGACTAGCGACTTGTTGATCAATTTGATTTCCTTCAACACCAATAACACCACCTACTATTGCAACGTCGCGAGCTAATGCTGCATGTGGATCTGCAGTACTGCTAAGATACCGGGAACTTAGAAGATGTTTCATTTTTTCTGACTGAAAGAAAAAATGATAGTAGTTATACAACAAGCCAAATGACATTATGTAATATACTCTGGAAGTTAAGAGATACAATTAAAAAGTAAGATTAACACATTTTTTTAAAATAAATTCCTAAGTTTTATATCATTTAAAAATGATACGGTGAAATAATAGTGATAAGGTGACATCAAATGACGTTTTTAACGTCAAAAAAACGTTATAAAAATGTCATCTTGATACTTGAGTAATACTGAAATAAAAAATCTTCTATATGTATGTTTTTTTACAGTTATGATGCAATAATTTTATAATACGTGTCCAAGGTGAAAACTTTGTTAGTTATAGTTAAAAAGGAACATCATTACAAAGTGTTTTTAAAAATGATTCTTTAACAGTAACAGTTATATGATTTTGATTACTTTTAATGCCGCTATCACTATGTCTCTTGCTTGGAGCTCGCCTTCCAGATATCCCAGTAACTTCAGCAAATCAGTTTTGCTCAGCTCCATCTTTGGATTACGCTGCAAATATGTACAAAGCAATTATTAAATATTCTGCAAATTTATATTAAATATAACTATCACAAATTAAAAGATATAGACTCAAAAATTAAGAAATCAAAACTAGATATAGAAAGGACTAATTCTTTAACCCTTCTTGTACTCTCTGAATTCTTTGGAGTAAATTCTTATTTTAAAGAATAAAAATTGAGTTAATCTTAAAAAAAGAATGGCTTAATTTTTAATCTTTAAGAGTGAGATTTTATTCAGAGTAAGATTCACTCTAAAAGTTTTAAAGAGTATCTCTAGTTTTGATAACTATCACACATCACAATTTAACAGATACGCAAAATTTTTTTTGTTTAACTCCAAGAGGATTTATGCCAAGAATATACCTTGAGAGTATTGGAGGAACTCTTATCCAACGATTCAATGTTGTTGGCTTGCTGCTGCAATTGTTGCTGGGATTGCAATTGTGATGGTTGAGTACCAGAGGTGAATGCCTTCGCGACCGAGATGGTGGCCGCACTGGTCAGGACGGTGGTACCCGGCGACGGCGACGGTGCCAACGTCGATGGCGGCCCATTTGCCGTCGTAGTCGTCATTGTCGTCGTCATTGTTATTGCCGACGTTATACCGGACGAGGAGACATTGACGGCGCCCTGATTCTGCGATGCCATCATTACGCTCTAACGTAGAGGGTATTCTATTTACCTACCGTCGACCTACGAGGACGAGTAGTTGTCGTTGCCTCCTGGCTACGGCGCGACTCGGTAAGGGCGATCTTGTGAAACTCGCTTGCGCTTGTTCGCTCGCTCGTTCGCACTTCACCTGAGCGCGCCCCAAGCTGTTCCTACGTCGATTTCCTCACCCCTCGATCCGGAGATTCGCCACGGCCGTCACGGGACGCGCGAGCACCCCCGCCGAACACCCAGCGGCCCAGGACGCTCGCCACATCGCCGACACGGGACCGATGGCCACGCGTTCCTCTTCTTCCCGTCGTCGTCGTCGTTGTCGTTCTTCTCTCCGTCTTCCTTGTCCTTCTTCTTGTCGCCGTCGTCGACGACGTCGTCGTTCTCTCGTCGCCGGTATCTTGGTCGTTACTGCAGTCGTCGGATTGACGTGTCACGCCGACGAAAATGTATTAACGTGGCGGCATCCGGCACGACGAATTACTCAGGTTGCTTTGCCTCTCGATTACGCTATGCTCGTTCCCTTGACAAATCAAGCGCACAAAGCGCAGCTAGCTCTACGGCTACGGCACGGTCAAGCGAAATTCGATGAATCGTCTCCTCGTGAAAGGCGCTCCGATTTACCATCGATTCGGTACCGGAGTCGGATATCGAATGGTCGATGATCGATCCAGTCATGATCGCCCCAGCGAAATATGAAGTGCCGAGAACGCAACTTCACAGTTTGTTAGTTTTCTCTCTGAGAGAAAAAGATGCTGACGCATAATGTTCATTTTTAGCATCAAAATAGAGACTGAAATTCATACTAGACAGTAAAAATGATAAGGATCATGTATAGAGCGCCCATGAATATAAGTAATCTAACTGACGCTGGAAGAGTTTAATAGAAT